GTTAGTAGTGTTATTATCTTATCAATCAAATAACACTGATAAAGTTCGTAGTGTTATTATCTTATCAATTAAATAACACTGGTAAAGTTTATGGTGTTATTATCTTATAAATCAAATAACACTGGTAAAGTTAGTAGTGTTATTATCTTATCAATCAAATAACACTGATAAAGTTCGTAGTGTTATTATCTTATCAATTAAATAACACTGGTAAAGTTTATGGTGTTATTATCTTATAAATCAAATAACACTGGTAAAGTTCGTAGTGTTATTATCTTATCAATTAAATAACACTGGTAAAGTTCGTGGTGTTATTATCTTATAAATCAAATAACACTGGTTAAGTTTGTAGTGTTATTATCTTATCAATCAAATAATACTGGTAAAGTTCGTAGTGTTATTATTTTATAAATCAAATAACACTGGTTAAGTTCGTAGCGTTATTATCTTATCAATTAAATAAAACTGGTGAAGTTCGTAGTGTTATTATCTTTTAAATCAAATAACACTGGTTAAATTCGTAGTGTTATTATCTTATCAATTAAATAGCACTGGTAAAGTTCGTGGTGTTATTATCTTATCAATCAAATAACACTGGTTAAATTCGTAGTGTTATTATCTTATCAATTAAATAGCACTGGTAAAGTTCGTGGTGTTATTATCTTATCAATCAAATAACACTGGTAAAGTTCGTAGTGTTATTATCTTATCAGTAGAGTGTTGTGAATTAGAGGTTGAAACATGTTTCGTTTCACAGCTACAATAAGATCTTAGTGTAGAGTATAAACAAACTATACTGAAAGGTTTGTTCCTTGTAAAGAATTAACTAATGGCGTAAACATACTAGATAGCGAATGAGTATATGAAAACAACATATTCTAATGTAAATCGCTGCTTAATGTGTTAAGAGCGTATTTTATAATGCTTCAATTGAATAAATTACCAATTTTTGTTTTACAGAACAATGTTTTGTTCTCTTCTTTGGATTTAAAAAGCTCATGACGGCCCGGCATGGCCAGGTGGTTAGGGCGCTTGACTCACAATCTGAGGGTCGCGGGTTCGAATCCCCGTCCCAATAAATGTGCTCGCCCTTTCAGCCGTGGGGGGTTATAATGTGACGGTCAATCCCACTATTCGTTGGAAAAAGAGTAGCCCAAGTGTTGGAAGGTGGGTGGTGATGACTAGCTGCCTTCCCTCTAGTCTTACACTGCCACATTAGGGATGGCTAGCGCAGATAGCCCTCGTGGAGCTTTGCGCGAAATTCAAAACAAACAAACAAATTTACTCGTAGCAAAACGAAAGCTAGAAGGGGACTCTCTAATATATATTGTTCATCTTTTACTCTCTTTGTTTTTTCTGTAGTTGATTCAGATTTCAAACACAAAAATTCCATACCATTAGTATAGTGCTTAGCTTCATTACACAATTAAGTAAAAATCAATGTTTTTGTTAATAGACGAATATTACAACAGTTATAGTGCTTAGCTTCATTACACAATTAAGTAAAAATCAATGTTTTTGTTAATAGACGAATATTACAACAGTTATAATGCTTAGCTTCATTACACAATTAAGTAAAAATCAATGTTTTTGTTAATAGACGAATATTACAACAGTTATAGTGCTTAGCTTCATTACACAATTAAGTAAAAATCAATGTTTTTGTTAATAGACGAATATTACAACAGTTATAGTGCTTAGCTTCATTACACAATTAAGTAAAAATCAATGTTTTTGTTAATAGACGAATATTACAACAGTTATAGTGCTTAGCTTCATTACACGATTAAGTAAAAATCAATGTTTTTGTTAATAGACGAATATTACAACAGTTCGTTTTTGAGTGTTAGATTTCATCTAAAACAAAAACAACTGGAGTGTTTAATAGCGCAAAAAAAATGTAACAGTTATTGTTAATTAACCTATATATTTAATGATGTCACCAAACAACGTTAACATTTTGTTTTAAACTCAGGAAATAATGAAAACGATCTTTCAACAGCAGAATGGGGATTACAAAGAAGGAAAAACTCACGAAAGAGAAAACATCGCTGATGTTTCAGCAAGTAATCAAATTGATTTGTACTTATAGCTGTACCGTTAGAGAGGATTTAATGTAATATAAAAGTGTAATGTCGTTAAAACTAGAAAAGGCTTTTAAATAATTTTATTTTTAGATCTTTCCTTAAGACGATCGTGAGTTCTTGACACTCCTTTGATGAATTAAGATTGAAAATACACAGTTAAGTTAAGATTGAAAATGCACAGTTAAGTACAAGCGTAATAAGTCCACCATTTGGGCGAGTACTTTGCATAAAATAAACAGTTTTTAGCTTTCTTTGGTGTATAGTTTCGGTCATAGAATCGCAGTATGACTGGGCTGATGTTCAGACAGGAGATCCAGGTTTATTAACACAACAGTTAAATATATACATGCGAAACCAAATTGGTTATCTAGTTGTTTTTTTTTCATATTTATGAAGAATAATCCTGTAGTCAAGCCTATTTTGTAGGATTCGCCACATACCAGCGAGACATGCTAATTGAAGGTCGTTTCACTATTTATTAAAATACACAATATTAATGATATTACAACTACAAGATTACAAACAAATATCTTCTTAACAGCATTGTAGAATTATTTAGTCGCATAAATGTTGGATATTGTTCGTGATGACATTAGATATATTTTATGCAAGAACATAATTCGTGTTCATGTTCATTAAGTGAAAATACTGTTAAATAAACCCATGTAACTCCAAGTTACAATAAGATAAAGCTCTCTCAACGATTTTGCACGAGAGTGTCGTACATTATTTGCAAATTCCATGACTGGCAGTTAACTCTGCCAATAACCGATGTGTAGAAACATGTTTCTACACATAGGTTGGTGTCAGAATGAACCACCAGAACAGTGTTTCTACACATCGGTTATCGTCAGAGTGAACTACCAGAACAGTTTATTTTGGTCATTCACTCTTCTGACAACCGATATATCAAGAAACACTACTCTGGTAGTTCACTCTGACGACATCTAACACGTAGAAACATTACTCTGGTAGTTCACCCTGACGACATCTAGCACGTAGAAACACTACTCTGGTAGTTCTACCTGACGCCATCTAACACGTAGAAACACTAATCTGGTAGTTTACCCTGCCGACATCTAACACGTAGAAACACTACTCTGGTAGTTCACCCTTACAACATATAACACGTAGAAACACTACTCTGGTAGTTCACCCTGACGACATCTAACACGTAGAAACACTACCCTGGTAGTTCACTCTGACGACATCTAACACGTAGAAACATTACTCTGCTAGTTTACCCTGCCGACATCTAACACGTAGAAATATTATTCTGGTAGTTCACTCTGACGACATCTAACACGTAGAAACATTACTCTACTAGTTCACCCTGCCGACATCTAACACGTAGAAACACTACTCTGGTAGTTCAACCTGACGACATCTAACACGTAGAAACACTACTCTGGTAGTTCAACCTAACGACATCTAACACGTAGAAACACTACTCTGGTAGTGATGAAGTATTTTCAAGACGCACAGTAATGTGTCGTGAGGCCAAAACAACCAGCAAGACACACTGTTATTAACAGGAGTGATAGTTTAGCGATATTCCACTTCCTATAGGTCGTACTGTGGTAATCCAAACTATCACATATTTTCTGTGGATGTGCTCTACTGGACTTTTATTTCACATATGAAATTTAAAGGCAATCCATTAAGAAATACACGAGTTATAAAATGTTGATTGAATTTTTTCCTTTTTTTTTCTCTTCGCACCGAAAGTACGAAAATTTATTTGATTGAGAAACATACTTAACTTTATGGATTTTTTTTTTCAAACTTAGAGCAGTGATAGATCTTTACAATCTACAAATCGGTGTCAAATTTGTTCTAAATATAAACCACATGTGTAAAGTCTTTCACAAACACCGCTCGAATTCGACAAAAAGTCAGGTGAACTATTGGTCTGAAATCTTTACTACAGCTTCACCTAAGAGTAAAAGTGAACAGTTTTTAGTTTTTTGTTTCTCTTTAAATATAGCTGACTTAGAGTAGCAACCCTATAAGGTGAAGACATTACAGATACACAAGTGTTGGTTAGGCCAAGCAAACTAGATTAGTAGTTTCTAACTCAGGTTGTCAAAAGAATCATACGGGTGGACGGTTATTATTGATTATTCATTGCCAACTTTTCAGCACAAGTGTATTAAATTTTATGAAATTATCCTAATCAAAGAACGTTTAGCGTCACGTGATATTAACTTAAACAATTAGCATAAATAATTGTGCTTGAAAGGTTGTACTGAGTGTATGCGGGTGATGATAAGAAACTGTTAATCTAGATTCCATGGCGTTACTATAAAGGAAGTTATTAACGCTGTTTTAGAGAGGAAAAACAACCACCATATATTTTAAATAATCTGGTTGGGTCTGTAAAGTATAGGTCCGTTCCGAATATTAGGGTTGTGATCCTAAAGCTAATGTTGGTTACTATAGAGTGTCTCTTTCTTACTTGCTGTGGTTTGATGGTGTGTATTGACAAAAAAAGTCATGATATCTAATCAAAAACACCTTAGGTGGAAAAAAATATGCAGCCAAAAAAAATAAATAAAAGGATTCAGCGTGCGACAGGAATGAAATCAAAACTGGTAGCTACATTTATAGCATTGATAAGAATTTTACAGCCAATATTCATTCATTAGCTAGCTAGGCCGTGTATTTTGTTTTACCAACCATCATGCCCTAAATTGAATGGATGCTCAACCATTTTTTGGCCGCACCTTTTTTTCACAGCCAAGATGTCTTTGATGTCGTTCACTCTGACGAAAATGTATATGTATAAAAAACAATAACACCAAATTGATCGCTCAGGTTGCACAATGAAGGTGTTTACATGAAATTGACATACCTTCTTGTACTTCTAAATTTTACACCTATATTAGAATTGCATTTACCTTTATATTCTCTTTATATAGGATCAATACTTGTTTGTACTGACAGTCCTTAGATTTTAACTCTCTTAACTAGTATCAACTCATTTTTAAAAGTATGACTGGAACTTTGGTAAAGTTTGGTTAAAAAAAACAGTAACAAACTGACATTTTAAGGTATGTTTAACTTTTCAGGGTATTTGTGTCAGGGTATTGGAGTGAAATGTATAATGTAATCACATTAATAAACATTTCAATATTTACTAAACATTCAAAGTGACTATGTAATCAGTCATACACACACACATTGTCTATTTCAGTCTTAGAACATCATTAGATTAGTTCACAAAGCCATAGCAGTTAATATATGAAGTAACTGTCGTCCAGTAAAATAACTGATATTTATTGTACAGTGCATTGAAAACAGCCACAGTGATATATTGGAATGCATAAAGAGAGTTTGAGCTGTGAAGTGAACAATTCATAATAGTTAGTAAGTAACTTTTCAAACCCCAAATGTATTTGACAATAGCTATTACAGAGAACTGCGTATTCAACACAATTGAATTTAATTAATTATTCTTGTTAACTGAACAGAAATATCCACACACGTATACATACAACCAAAACCAGAACTCTAACAACGAATGTTGAACATCGCTATACCCCGAGGGCCAATGTTTTACCGAGTTGTTGATTTGTATTAATACTTCTTACTTAATGCAATGAGATATATAATTTATAAATAAATCCACACTAATACAAACCAGTACGTATCATATATAGTGTTTCATATAGCAATATTGCTAAAACGTGTTCATTCGATTTCAATTATTTGCCTTAGTTTTGAAGCTGAACCACAAATATTTAATAAGATAGATGAACTGAATCACTGAGTTTTAATTGTGCCCCACTTTCAAAATAGTAAATTGTATATGCAGTATGTCTGACGACTGGAATTTAATTTCACTTTCATGTATAGTGTATTATATTTTCCTGTCAAAGAAAGGCATACAAATCAACGACTATTAGTATCGTTTATTAAATACCACCACCAATAATTATCATATTCATAAACTTCCAAACTATACTTCTCTAAATACAATGCGGTGTAGGGAAGCAGAGAAGAAACGTTTTATCTACCGACAATTCAGGGCACGAACTCACCATTACGTGTAACAAACTGTCCTGTTTTTTTCCTGAATGTGCAAATCGATGTAGGAATTAAACTTCAAGAAGAACGGATTTAGTTTGCTGCTAAACTTATCACCTCTATTTGTCATATGGCATCATGACAATCTTCTAACTCGGCTCTCACATATCATACGTACTTATATATATATATGTGCATGCGTATTAAATAGATACCAAAATAAAGGGATGAGTTCAAGATTAAATTTCTATTTCAATAGGTAGCACTTTCGCGTCTTTAAAGTTCCTCTAAATCCAGATTTTTTAACTCTTAGATAAACTCATCATTCTATTAGACTTCTCACCTTATTCGTATATGACCCATATTTACGCCCTTTGTTGTTATATAACAAAACCACGTTAAGTTCAAATACTGCTAACTTACAAGTATAATTTCCTAACATCTTAAACTTCAACCATCGCTCTACTGTCTCGCTGAATCTGTTTTTATAAAATCTTTGTGGTACGTGTTTTTGGTGAGTAACTGTGTAACAAACTGAACTTTCATATTTCTTATATTACATACTAACTTATGACACAACTTACATGGTAATTTTACATTTATATTAGCTTTTAGCCGCGGCTCATAGAATGATTCAGGGTTTTATAAGTACAAACTTTTAGCTCATAGCTCCGTCATCTCTTGACCGATTTTAGTTTTGGACTCAGCAGGTGAAACCCCTTTCGACTGATGTATTTGACCACGCCCAAGGTCTAATAGATTAATTTACTCTAATCCTGCCTAAAAAAATTCCAATTTAATGGTAGGCTAGTAGAGATCTTGATGAGTAATAAAATGTAATCGGGTATACGCGCGCCCCAGTTTAGTATTGCTGGCGCACAAAAATATATCTAATAAAAAGGAAAAACAAAAAAGCCTCATAGAATAATTTACTCTAATTCTGCGTAAAA